TTACGTGCGTGTAGCGAACATGTATACGCTTGACAAACGATAGAGCTGGATGAAAATGTTTATGCCGCATAAAAATTTCCTGGAGATGTAGCGTTCACCAAGCGTATACTTTTGTATTTCGACGTACTTTAAACTTATGCAAGGCGCGTCTAACGATTGCTTAGCGTTCCTCTTAGTACGTGCACTTGCGTTCACCTAACGTATATGGATTTAGTCAAATTTCTCTGTACGTCTTGTGCACGTCGGTCTATACGCCAATGTGTGACGCCGGCATTAGATCTGTAAATTTGCAAATTGGTTGGTGATTTATGTGGTCTGTTGTGCTGTGCGGTATGTTTTTGGAGATTCCTGTCATCCCTCTTTATGTATTACTAGTATTCAAAACCGTAAAGGATGAGAATTGGAAAAAAGTTTCGCTTGCTTAAAAGTAGAAAACAGATATATAGAAGAAGTTAGACAAGACATAAAGAAAACACAATAGAAGAATAAAGCCGTTTATATTTATAACATTTCATAGATTCGACAAAATAAAATCAGAAATAGAGTTTAATAATACTTAATTCTAGACATTTGCACATGTTAACACCAGACAATACTGAAGATTATGAATTGGAAAGAACACACTAATAAAAAGCCGTGACCCCGATCAGTTATCATATTATGTCGTGCATATGACATTCGTTGTATGTTGATGTATGTCACCATTACCATGATTACCCGAATATAGCGATGAACGTATCTGGAACTAGTATTGTGAAAGAACTTTCAATGGACCCATAAAAGCACAAACATCCAAGATGTTATATAGAAATCGTATCTCACAAAACAATACATTGCAAGAAAGGTATGTAATGCATACTATATAAATATAGGAAGATGTGGTGTGAGTGCCAATGAGACAACTCTCCATCCAAGTTACAATTTATAAAAGTAAACCATTATAGGTCAAGGTAGAATGTTTGATTAATATCAAGTCTAGTGTTCTGTCCAGGAAAGACCAGTTCATCCTGCCAATTATGTATTGTATGAACACACAGTCTAGTATGAATAACTGTTAATTAGTCTAATTCGACCTAAGGGACATGTGTTTACACTAAGCAGTCAATTTGGGGACACTGGTTTTGAAATTGTTGATTGATTCGCGATAATGACCGTTCTGATAATACACATTCTCTTTCTCCTTTTCGAGGTGGTGTAGTTTTGTGTCTTTTGCTTTTGATATTAACCTTGTGCCCCTCCAATGTAATTTAGCAACAGCATGGGCAATGTTCTTTTATCATTTAAATGATTTTATGAAAATGGAAGTTTAGAACAATTGTCAGAGAAGATAGAAACAACTTGTCTACAGCTAGGATAATTTAGGGCTTGTTATACAATATGAAATCATGGCAATTATTGAAGTCCGAAAAATTATCTCTAGATGCGTGTTTTATTTTATTGACATCTTTTGGTGGGTCTATACAATATGCGACAACATCAATATCTGAGATTTTTTTTACTGAGTGTCACATTTGGATCGTGAGTCATAAGGGTCAGGATGGGGTTTACAGAATAGAGAATAATGGACAGAAAAGTGCAGAATAAAGGACTAAAACAATAAAGAATAGAGAAAAATAGGCAAAAAAAAAAAGAATAGACAATAATGGGGTGCTAAAATATACAGAAAAGAGATTAATGGAAAAAGAAAAATTATCTACACAACTAAAGAATAAAGAAATGAGGGATCCCCATCCAGACCCTCAGTCTTGTATTGTAAAAATTAAAGGTCATATTTTTTTGTGAATCTGTAGTCATCAATGAAAATGGAAATTATAGGATGTGTTTTGTTTCTATTTCATTTTCCAATTGTAGTATACATAGATATGGAACCATTATAAGAAAATTGCCTACTCCTCTAAAACAAAAACCATAAAACGGTTGCAACCAGCCTAACCTAGCTAGATAATTTTGTGACTTGATCACTAGGAATATTAATGGGCACGAACGTTTGACTGGAATCCAGGATAATTGAAACGACAGAGCCAGTTTAGTTGTAATTACCCTGTTATGCCATAATTGACCATGGATATGCTCCATGCAATTGGTGTAACCACTATGCCGTCCTTTTTTCCAGGATTGCGACCTCACCGAATGAGAATTATAACCAAATGTACGTGTACTTCTCATGAGCAACACGACGAATGCCACTAGTGAAGCAGGATCTTCTTACTATTCCGAAAACCTTGAGATCCCCCACATATTTTGGTGGGGCTCGCGGTGGTCAGTCCTTAGTTTTTTTTATAGTAAGTGGTTTGTAAACTTGTTTGTCTTTTTGTCGGCTTTTGTTTTTTAGCCATAGCGTTGTCAGTTTCTCTTCGACTTATGAGTTGTGAATATCCCCCGTTATCTTCCACCTTTTGTTTATTTTTTGATAATATTGTATGTAACAACTACATCAATTGAAATTAATTGTATGTACATTTAGTAATGTATATACTGATTCACCGTGTAGAACACCACATGCGGAGTGTTGGCTATGTTTGACACGGGATGGCGGTTTTGAAGCGGAGAAAAAGCAATCAAGGTAAGTAAAAGTATAAACATTTCTTTTTTGAGAATTGTAACTAAGCACTAATTCATGTATTTCTGGGAATGAACCGAACCATAATCTATTTCCAGCAAGCAAAAGCAGATGTTTCTAGTGCTCCATTTTCTCAAACACCTCTCCCCAGTTTTCCGAGTTGCAGATTTTGAGACTTCATATGCAAGTTTCAGGATAAAAAAACACTTTTGGTGATTTTTCCTCCCGTATGATTTATATCGAAGTGAATTCCTATTATTGAACTTGAGCAAATGCCAGCTTCTTATTCAAAACTTATAGGATTTAAATTAAGTTAGTTTTTCATCGAAATGTAATGTGTCGCTCGGGGTTTCAGATTTTGCGTCTCAAGGGGGAGAGGCATTTATTATAACAAGGATAGATTTGCGTATAACTCTGTCTTTATTTGAAAGTTTGTAATTCAAACACGACTACTCTTTTATGATGTTTCATTACAAACTTAAGACCTGGTATTTCATTTGGCTCATATTTTTGTTTTTTTAAGTAATGTGCATGTTTAATGTTAAAAATAGAGAAAAAGCCTCAAAATATTTACTTTTATATCTAAACATGATTCCTTTTCCTTTTCAGTTACTATCATGGTCAGGAAGAAATCACTGCTATGGCTTAATACACCAAAACATGGAGCAAAATCAGAGAGCAGACCTCCGTATAAGATTTGCCCGAAGCCACCAACAGCTAATCTCTTTCAAATTTCTTCACCAGTTTCCTCTACAAAGCACACGTGCAATTAAAAATCGTTTTAAAAAGATGTGTCATCTTCTTCAGGTCTTCTTGAAGCTTTTTTTCCATTTGTTAATATTGATGCCGGTGAGCATAGCTGAGGATAGAGTAATTAAGCGAATTTGTTTCGTAGTGAGTCCTTTTTGCGGCGTGCACGTGTGCTTTGTAGAGGAAACTGGTGAAGAAATTTGATAAAATTTAGCTGTTGGTGGCTTCGGACAAATCTTATACGGAGGTCTGCTCTCTGAAGTTGCTCTATGTTTTGGTGCATTGAGCCATAGCAGTGACTTCTTTCTGACCATGATAGTAACTGAAAAGGAAAAAAATCATGTTCAGGTATAAAACAAAATACTTTGAGGCTTTTTCTCTATTTCTAACATTAATAATGTATATACTGATTATTAAACCTGCACATTACTTAAAAAACTAAACTATCGGCAAAATGAAATACTTTAAGTTTGTAATGAGTCATAATTTCAGATTAGGCTTGTTTGAATTACAAACTATCAGATAAAGACCGAATAATAGGCAAATCTATCCTTGTTTTAATAAATGCCTCTACCCCTTGAGACGAAAAATCTAACACACCGAGCGACACATTACATTTCGATGATAAACTAACTTTAATACCTATAAAGTTTGACTAACAAGTTGGCATTTGCATAAATTCAATGATAGGAATTCATTCTATATAAATCGTACGTGCAAAAAATCGCCAAAAGTGTATTTATATCCTGAAACTTGCATATGAAATCTCAAAATCTGCAACACGGAAAACTGGGGAGAGTTGCTTGAGAAAACGGAGCACTGGAAACGTCTGCTTCAGCTTGCTGATAATAGGTTATGGTTCGGTTCATTCCAAGCAATACATGATTTAGTGCTTACAATTCTCAAAAAAAAAAATTTGATACTTTTACTTACCATGATCGCTTTTTCTCCGCTTCAAAACCGACACCCCGTGCCAACACCCTATATGTTGTGTTCTACACGGTGTGATTGGAAGCCAGCAATAACATTCATTAGATGAGGCTGTGTTTGATAATAATATATTATGATAATAAAAAAACATCTTTGCTGTAAATATGCAATACATGTTCTACTATAATTAGCTATTCAAGATATAAAGATTCATTTAAAGTTCTATGATTAGTTAACTTATATGATCGATAGGTGTCATAACAATTGTTTTCAATGACAAATGCTAATCACATTTATTTATTACATTGCATGTTTGCACAGAACAAGTTTACTAAATACCAATGTGAAATTAAACCTGTAATATATATGTTCAAGACTTGTAAACGAATCAAAACGAAGTGACATCGCGTAGAAAAAAATGTACCTCCGTATATGATCGATCTACTTTATTTTTTTAAAATTCAATAAAATAAACTTTACTTATAGAAAGGTAAATTAAAATCATAATGACGTGTTTTTAAGACAAATCTTCATGTCATATATTGATTATTTAGTATGTATATCACGTGCAAAATTAATTTCCAATTTCTAATGATATATACCATATACATATATCAATATGTATCTGTATGTCATGTGTATATATTCTATAAGCTGTATTGCTTTTGAACAAAAGACTATTATTATTATACATGTACAAATGTATGTAACATGCCCTTTATGGACCGATGATTGTTTTTTTTTTAAGTATTCGTAGTCATATAGTTTGAAACGTCTTTATTTTAACATATAAGTTTGGTAATAACGGTACATACATACATGGAAACTGAACTGAAAAAAATGTCTACTCTTACAAAAATGTTGGAAAGGTAGGCAGAGTGAAAAACATCGTGTCTAGAAGTTAGAAATCATAATAAACAAAACAAAAAACTTATAAATACATTAGTGCACATTTGTAACGTTTCAATCATCATTATTTGCTCTACTTTGTTTTCATATCAAAACTGTATAATCCGAAAGACTGATGTTGGTGCATGAAGGTGGAACGGTAATATCATAGCCTTTTTAGAATTTTCACCCCTTTCTAACACTGACCAAGAACCTACATACACAGTTAACCTGAAGTAATTTAATTACAATACTCAGAAATAAATGTGAATATGTTTGACGACCGTTTACTTTTTCTGTTATATTTATAAGCCTAAGGCCACTAGGACTTTCAGACTTTTAATCATGCAGTGAAAACAAAATCAAAAAAATTCTCAAAAACTATTTTCACCTGTATGATTCAATCCTCAGTTAGGGAAAATATGTATATAGTAGATGCTGTATTTTTTGTCCAATCATAGTGTTCAGATAGTTCCCGGAAGGAAAATACTACCGTTCCACCTGAACCAATCATTATCATCGTTTACTAATTTGAGCTCTTACTACGAAAATGTTAATCATACAATCTTGTTATAGCAGTCAAATATAAAAATAAGAAGAAGTGGTACAATTGCCGATGAGACAACTCTTAACCAGAGACCAAATGACATAGAAGTTACCAACTATGGGTCACCGTACAACCTTCAACAGTGAGCAAAACCCAGCTATAAAAGGTCCCGAAATGACAAATGTAAAACAATTCAAACGAGAAAACTAACGGCCTGATTAATGTACAAAATAATGAACTAAAAACAAATATGATATACAGCAACAAAAGACCACCACTGAATTACAGGCTACTGACTTAAGACAGGCACATAAGAAAGTGGTGGGATTAAACAAGTTTGAAGGCGCCAATCCCCCCCACCCTAAACCTAAAAGTCATTTCCTATAACTTTTTTCTATTTTTAGGTAGTAGAACAGCATACGAAAAAAAATCACTCTGAAAGGGATTGCGTTTACTTTCCCTTGAAACATGAACTTTCCTTTATGGATGTATCTTTTTTATAATTTTGACATGATTTCTTTACTACTGCTTATAGAGATCATCTCAATCATTTAGAGCATACTGTTCCTTTCAAATTTAGGAATTGGTAATTTATATAATATTCTGCGGTTCTTATACCTAGATTATGTTTTTACATTATGTCATCTCAACTAAAATAGATGTAATGTTTATTATCCGTTATAATCATATACACATGAGTCGTCTCAAATGAAGAAAAGGTCATCTTTTTTTCGAATAAATGAATGTTTATTTGCTATGTATAACTTTCTTTTGTCATTAACATTGTTGCTTGTTAATCCCGCCGTCTGTTTGAAACCCCTTTTCGATTCTTTTTGTATAACATTTTCCTCGCTGGTTGAAAACTTGCCATAAATTGAATCATAATAATTCCTGCGCTTGGCTTGTTTGAAAGTTTTTGAAGGAAAACTATACTCTTCATCACTTTCCCAGTCGAAACTATCATCTTCTTGCGAACTATCTTGCTGAATGACATGTTGTTTAACTTTATACTTGTGTAAACCATTCTGGTGTAACCTTTTAATTCTCTTTATTTCATTTATAATTTTTGTTTGCGACAAAGTATCTAACATTGGTCTTACAATGTAAGTTTTGTCGTAGTTATTCATATTAGTTTGACTTGATAAACGTTTTCTGACAAATACGTTCTCACGATTCCATAAATTCATATTACCTGCGGTATTATAATTTATGATGTTAGAGTATTTATCATTACGCCCTATCAAAGCCCTTGAAACGGATGTAGTCGTAGGGATTGCTCCATTTCGGTTTGAAATATGCATTTCGCTGTTGTCTGTATACCAATTTGCGTCCAGTATCGGAAAAGACTTACCAACAGAAACATTCGTATCTTTCCCTTTTACTATTTTTGCTGTCTCTTGTATGGAAAACTCATTATGTGTTGTAACTGTATTTCCCGCATTCGGGATATCATCTGTTTCAGAGCTGAAACTAACATCTGAATCATAAAATTCTTCTGTTTGTTTATGAGCTCTCAGGAATCGACGAGTTGGTATAGGTGTCGATTCTACTTTGAATAGCTGATGTTGCACTAGACCTTTATTTTGAAAAGGATTGCGAACAAATGTTGATATGCTATTACCATAAATGTTACCTGCGATTCCCTGCACTGCTGAGTTCTGTGACTCTTGATGGTTCGCGAACATAAAATTCTTTTTTCTCCAGTTTTGCTTCATATTGTTATTCGTTTGAAGTGTCGAAACCTTTTCAATTTGTTCAGAAGATGAACCAATAGGTCGGCTTGATGTCGGTGGTATTTGCCTTGCCTTTCGATTAAGTTTACTTGATTGGTGTTTTTGCGAATATATATGCTGCAATGGAGAACCCATTGTTGGTTTTGTCTTGGTATTGTACATTGGGTTCTGTATTGAGACAGGATTAGAGAAATATTCAGCTTTATTCATTAGTTTTCTGACAAACGGAATCTTACGACTGGAATATTGTTTCTGCTTTGTTTTATCCGAGCTATACCCATTTATGCTTACAGACTCATTATTGTCTCGCTTCAGGAAAATTGTAACGGAAGCGTCTGTTGAATCTACTCCATCTCTGTTTAAAATGAATGTATCTCGATTATCTCCCTTTCGTCGACCTTTTTGGAACGAGAAAGCTTTGCCAAGTGAAATTATGACTGACTTTACTTTGTTAGCTTTCACAATATCTGCTGTCACGTCTTTAGAAAACAACTTGTTCGTTGCCATTCGTTCTGTCTGTATACTGTTAGCCTGTAGATAACCTGATGTTTCCTTTTTCGACCGAATATTCAGACTTTTATCAAAGTGATACCCAAAAGTAGGATCTGGAAAATATAAATTTAAATCGTCATGAAATACAGAGAGGGTTCAAAGTTTGTATTATCACGAATCAAAGGTCTGGATGGGGTTTATAGAAAAGAAAATAATGGACCGACAATACAGAAAAATGGACCAAAAAATAAAGAAAAATATAGAAAATAGTGGGGTGCTAAGAAACGTGGGCAAACATAAGAATGAAATGGAGACAAATGATCTTGAGGTTAAAGAAAACAGAAATGAAGAACCCTCATTCAGACCCTCGAATATGTTTTGATGTTTCGTGAATTATTTTTAGAAGCAAATGTTTCTGTTTTAAACCTGAAAAAGATAAACTAACATGAATTCAAGACTATATAATATACCAGTAAAGGGGTATGCATACAACTCCATATCAGGATATCAGTAATTATTAAAGATCATAAAGGGTTAAAGTATTTGAGGAAAATTGATACTTTTCCAGTCTCCGGACCATGCAAATCGTCAAAAGGGAAAAAAGGAACATAACCGTCCAAAAAACAACAACAGTAAAGTACACACATCGTACGTTTTACTTATTTTTTAGAAAAGGCATATAGAAATAAAATAACAGCTGCTGTTAATATTAGATTTATTTAAAGTCCGTTCACTGTGGTAAGTTTCTGGAGAAAAATTACCAAGTTCTTAATTATTTAAAACAAAATATGATCATACATAGTAGCGATTCCTGGTTTCAAAATTTTCTATTAAAACGAATATATTGACGTATCTATCGCATGGGACCATAAACTGTGTTTCATTAATATAATATAGGAACAAATCTGTTATTGATGGGGCGCAATTGGTACCCAGAAGAAATAACTTTCAATCTGAGAATAACCAAACGGTACATAGATGTTGACAAGAAGAAAATAATTAGCTTTTAATGAACTTATCACAGTTCCAGTAAGTAATTTTGATATTATAAAAAAATAAGTTTAAAGCTTTGTACTGGTCACAGCAAATATGTTTGCAATAAGATATTTATAGGAACTATTTAATTGATTTATTGTTGTTTTTTACGTGAAGTGACAAATACTTAATGTATTTTCATGACGATGACACATTAACAATAAATGCAATGCGTAGGTCCTGCAATAAGGGGTCGATCGCAAAGATAGGCGGGAAAATTGGAATACAACTGAAAAATGAGGATATACTGGATAGGGACAGACATTTAGCCTTTCAACAGGTCATCTACTGTCCCTCAGTCTGATCTCAGTCTCAGCAATTAGAGAATGGATGTGAGTTTATACATCCCACAGAGCCAAACGGACGCGCGATGGTATAACTGACTATCGGAAGAAGAACAAGCGATGACCATATTACTATACCCCAGTCAATCATTGGGGTGAGAGGCCATTTGACTTCTGTTTAATAAGATTGCGTTGGAGTGCAGTGAAGAGAGTTTCAAGTCTTGACTGCCAATAAAATTGAAAGTACCATAAAACACACAATTGATGAAACTTGTCATTAATAAGGAGATGTGGTATGATTGCCAATGAGACAACTATGCAACAGAGTTCAAGTGAAGTGGATGTAAGCAATTATAGGTAACCGTACGGCCCTCAACAACGAGAAAAACTCATACCGTATAGTCGGCTATAAACGACCCCGACATGAAAAATATGAGACAATTCAACTGACAAAACTAACGGCCTTATTTATAAAAAAAACAATTTACGAAAAATAAATATGACATGAACCAACGACAACCACTGAACTACAGGCTCCAGACTCGGGACAGGCACATAAAGAATGTGGCAGGGTTAGACATGTTTGTGAGCGCTCAACCCCCCCCCCCCCCCCCCCCCCCCACAACCTGGGACAGTGGTGTAACAGTTCAACATAGGAACAAACTTTAAAAATCAGTTGAAAAGGGCTTAACTCATCAGATCGATATAAAGCAGAAAAAAAAATCTAACGAAATCATAGACCGTACTTGGGAGGGTAATTATACATCATTTACAACATAAAAAGACACAATGTACAGATCTGAGAGTACTAGCGGTTCTTGATAGCTAGTTCAAAGCAAATAACAACTAATAAAAAAATCATGTATATAAGATCAAAATACCAATCAGTACACATCCAACATCCAATGAATTTAGTGTAAAGACGTCTTTAACAGTCCGAGAAAAACATGACTTTGTGCAATGCCAAAATACCAAAATATAGGTATCGACAGATTGTAGAACCGTGAATGTGCATATGTGTACAACACTAGTATATTTAGTATGGTTTTAATTTACTGATAACAAAATCAATATTTATACAAATAAAACAATATTCGAAGATCTTATTACAGTGTTGAATTGGTAACATTTTTAGAATAAGTTTATTGAAAGGATTGATAAGTTTACCTGGATCGTATCTAAATTTCCGGGCTCAGTAAACAACACCACCGTAAACATTAGGATGTGCGATTCCGTTTGAAATAAGTTTTCTACAAGAACAGCAAAACTTCCAAACCAATTCTTTGTATCTATGGAATTTAGTAAAGGTTTTAAGTAATTTGTAGGAACGAACTCCCGGACTTAATAATTTACCAGTAATACATAGATTACGCTCAATGAAATCCAAAACGTCACTACAGACACGGGCATAGCGAACGAGTTGGGATAAATAAACACCGTAAGACGGTGACAAAGGAACATCACTGTCCAAAAAAGGAAAATTAACAGTAGGGAAAGAAATATCGTCCCTTTTGTCGTAAATTCGTAAATTTTTGTGTAGAGTTTCTCGTGTAAAACTGAAATATTTAAATCTAGAAAAGGACTGTTATTGCTGTTAAAATTTGGTTTATTTATAGTAAGTTCCTTTGGGTAAATTTCGACAGTATATCAAGAGAATTCTTGATTATTTAACGAAAAAATATTATCAATGATGTCAGTTGTACCCTGGTTTTTGGTGGGGTTCGTGTGACTCAGTCTTTAGTTTTCTATGTTATGTTTTGTTTACTGTTTTTGCCATGACATTGTCATCTTGTTTTCGATTTATGAGTTTGAATATCCTTTGTTATCTTTCGCCTCTCTCTTTCAAAAAACATTTTGTCACATTCGGGGTATTATTATTACCGAGTAAGGTATTTAACTTCCTAAAACAAGATATTGTTATCAACGATGAACTTTTTACGGATTTAAAACTGCATGAATTTTATTATTTAGGGCTATTGCATGAAGAGATTCTTTTCAAATATAGGTCCTTAACAAATCTTTGAAATAGAGATGCGGAAGTTACCAAAGTGAAAGTCAAACACATAAGTCGGATACGGACTGACAATTCCAGGATAAAAAAAAGAAAGACGACCAAATGACAAACAAAATGAACAACAGTCTATAAAAAACATCGAAAACTAAACACTGAGCAACATAAACCCCACCAAGAACGAAGGTTATCAGAGATGCTGCTAAAATTCATATCCAGTTCTTGGTCTGAGAGCCTTTCAGAAAACTTACCAACATTTGAATTATATTTGTTTTAAAATTCAATTGGTCCATGTTAAAGTTTGGGTCATAATGTTTCCCAAAATTCATGGTTGCTAGGTATATTTTTTCTCAAATATTATTGTGCTATAAGACTTCCAATCAACTTCTCAAAATCAAAAATGCATCCTTTGAAATCCAGTCGTTCCACATAAAAGCTTGGGACATAAAAGCTTAAGAATGGAAATGGGGAATATGTCAAAGAGACAATAACCCGACCAAAGAGCAGAAAACAACCCAAGGCCACAAATGGGTCTTCAACCGGGTGAGAAAATCCCGCACCCGAATGCGGGCTTCAGCTGACTCCTAAACAAAAATGTGTACTAGTTCATTGAAAATGGACGTCACACTAAACTCCGAAACATATAAATGAACTAAAATAAAAAAAACATACAAGACTAACAAAGGTGGCTAATGACTTGGGACAGGCGCAAAAATGTGGCGGGGTTTAACATGTTTTGTGAGATCTCAACCCTCCCCATTTACCTCTAGCAAATGTAGAATAAACAAATACACAGCAATACGCACAGTAAAACTCAGTTTTAAAAAAGTCCGAGTCCGATGTCAGAATAGGTAACAGAAGAAACTAAGCAAAATGACAATGATACATAAATTAACAAAGGACTACTAGCAGTTACTGACATGCCAGCTCCAGACCTCAATTAACAACATATTTCCCAAATTATAAAGTTGTTAGGTACCATTCTGAAAATGTTTTGGTCGGAAACATTTTCAGGAAATTGAAATTATAAGAGCAAATGTATTTTCTGAATCAATTTTCAATACAACCAAGAATTATTTAGTGATTATATTTTAGGACGCCACCCCTGTTGTTATTTAAACCAAACAAGTCTGATTTTTTTTCATTCGACACAAAAAAGATCATAGAAATAGCTGGTCCTTAAGTTTTGAAAGCATCTAGTTTACGATTTCTGAGAACTACCGCGAGTAAGTTCGGAGAAAGAAAATGAAGTAGAAAATAAGAATATTAATATCGAGACACATAGCAAAACATGATGTATCCAAGCCCCGATTTAAACTGTTAATAACAGATTTAAATTGAAATCTTTCATTTTTTTTGTCGAACCAGGAACCGATGTGTAACTACAAAAAAGATAAAATGTGTCATAAGACAAAAAAATCATACTTACGTCGAATTTCACAATTTACGTTTTGAAACATCCACATCTGTAAAATGACCAAAGGGATATACCATAAAAGATATAAACTCATGATTTAACCTTGAATTGTTACACTTTGTTAAAATTTTAATACAAACATGTGTATAATCGCACACTGCATACTGTACTTTGCATACCAATTGATTTGTTTATAACTTTACTTAACCTCATTTACAAGTCCATAAAAAAATGAACATTATGAATCGTTTAACATTTAGTTATGATTTATTAATTCATTAGTATTTACAAACTGTGATTTTTGATATGATAAAAGGAAATATATATGTTCCGGACCATATGAGTATTTGGACCATAAGCGTATGGTCATGACCATCTGAGTAATTAACATAATGAACGTTGAAAAGGTGTCGCATAAATTAAGAGTTTCTAAAAAAAGAAATTTTGACTTATTCTATAATTTGGGAATCATTGTTATATGATTAATATAATAAAGTGAACATTACATACAAGTAAGAATTATAGTAACATAATGTTTGATTTTTCGTTACGAAACGCAATATGTCGACTTTGGAAAATAACTTCAAGAAATATCTAAATAAACTCTTTTATAACAATAAGTCAATTGCTTAACTCACAGGAACTTCGGTCATCGAACTCTCTTTCTTTTCTTTTTCAGATTAATTTTGGTGATTACATTTGTATTTATTGAGTTAAAATTTCTTAAATATTTCTTATTGTTTTTAGTAATTCAATGTGTTTTTGCTCCTATTCATATGATCTTACAATGAGAGTAAGTTCGTATGAACAGGGACAAATACACATCGATTAAATGAAAATAAGCAGAAATAAGAAAAAGTGTTTTGTTTCTGAAATAATAATTTAAACGCTAAGAAAACTCCAAAAAAGGTCTATGCCCCAAACGCATGTGGTTTCACCAAATACTCATATGGTCCGGAACATACATAGAATATTAGTCAGATTTGAGCTAAAACGAATTTCTCTAATATATATACACCGGATGAGATACAAATTTATAGAAGACTAAAATGGATGGGTTGCGACAAATGTTTGCTAAACAATGGATAATGATCTATGATATACATTCATATATATTGAAATATAAAATGCAAAAAATAGTGGAAACTCATTTCATCTTATCAAAAAGTTTTGATTTATCTGTAACTGATTCGAAAATTTTCTAATTAAAGAGGATGTTACATTACAGTCTAAATCTTTTCCTAAATAATTATCGATTCCCGAGTACAGTTTAATCCTCATTTCTCCCTATACAGTATGATAGACATAAGAAGATGTGGTATGAGTGCCAATGAGACAACACATTTTGAAGGGTTTACGCGACTCCTCGAAGAAACATGCGCAAATAGTCGATCATTAAGCACAACCTCTGTGTCTATACCGATTGTTCTGAGTTATGATAAAACTATTATTCCAGAAGACCATACGATTTCAAAGTTGTACAATTATTGTAGAGCAGGATTTATTTACCCTTCCGGAGCACCTGAGATCAATCCCGGTTTTTGGTTGGGTTCGTGTTGCTCAGTCTTTAATTTTCTTGGTTGTGTTTTATGTACCGTTTGTCTTTTCGTCGTTTTTCGTTTTTTGCCAGGACTTTGTCCATATAAAAAAAGGAGATTTGATATGATTGCCAATGAGACAACTCACCACCAACGTTCAAATGAAGTGGATGTAAGCAATTATAGGCAACCGTGCGGCCTTCAACAATGACAAAAACCCATAACGTATGGTCGGCTATAAAAGGCCCCGACATGAAAAATATGAAATAATTCAATTGGGAAAACTAACGGCCTAATTTATAACAAAAGAATTTACGAAAAACAAATATGACAGACATGAACCAACGACAACCACTGAAATACAGGTTCCTGACTTGGGACAGACACATAAAGAATGTGGCGGGGTTAAACATGTTTGTGAGCGCTTAACCCTCCCCTAACCTGTGACAGTGGTGTAACAGTACAACATAAGAACAAACTATAAAAATCCGTTGAAAAAGGCTTAACTCATCAGATGGATACAAATAGAAATACATCTTACAAAAACACAGAGTGGACTTGGACGGGTATACAGTTTGTTTTCGACTTATGAGTTTAAATAACCCTTTCGTATCTTTCGCCTCTCTTGTCTCTTCATATTGTAAAAAATACTTATATCTTGCCGAAAAAAAATCCGTACCTGTTGATTGTTTTTTATATTCCTTTTGTTGTGATTTGATAATGTTCCATAGACATTAATAACTATCTGGAAGATGATGCTATGTGGCTTTGAATATTAGTTAAATGTAGATATTCTATGAGCTGTATTGCTTACGATTTGAAAAGCGTAATTGGCATTTTTCTTCGTTTACAGATATAGATAATTTTATTACCAATCAAGGTGCCCTTTAAAGGTTAGATTAATTACAATGTAATTATTCATAATATAATAAACTGATAGTCTAAGATAATATTGGTTCATTAAAATAATAAGTGTACTGATTGTATAAACACTTTTAACTTAATCTTAAAAAAGAAATGTCAACATTAATGTATATTTTTGTATTCAGCTAGATATATAATTCTTAGATTTTCATTGTGATTTATCTATGGAACAAGTGAATGTGTTGGCATGCGAAACTTTCAGCGTAGATATGTAAGGAACTACATGTATATAATTTTATTATTTTGATTTACCTTGGTTGATGAAGTCTTGACTACACCTGCTGACGCCGAAGGAGTGCATTTGGAAAAAGTCAGGAATATGACTTTTATTTTCCATTCATTCCGTCGGTTGATATAGTCGAGCGTTTGATTTTGTCAGGTTTAATGTATCCCCCCATCTTGAATTTACCTTGCAGCTCGCCTTTTTGTTATTACTTATTTATACACGTACAATTAGTATTGTTAAAATTATTGACACTGACGAAGGCTATTTGTTAAGCCGAAATATTTGTCAACACGATTTATAACATCATCTTCGTATATTACCAACTTATATCAGTACCGTTGTGCATATCTTTAGATTTATATATATATATATGGCCTTTATTTCTGTTCAGTTCCAGCTACCGTCAATAATTTACAACTAGAGACAGATGTAGAAGAATTTGCCAGGCGTCTTCGTTTGAAAGAACATTTCAATAGACAACAGAAGAAAAAATTAAAAGAAGCCGGAATGAATGAATCTGAATATGAGAGTGATGAAGAAGACATATGCATCCCCAAATTTAAAAAAAGAAAAGTACATGGAATCCACCTAAAAGCAAAAACGATAATTTGGAATAATTTATAACATCAGTTAAAGCTGAAGTCAGATCTTCAATCAGTGGTAAACAAGTGCGAAATATTTCAAAGTCAGAAAGCCAAGCCATGATAAACGTAAAAGACCGTGATGACATTGTTATCAAACAAGCAGACAAAGGAAGTGCCGTTGTTGTGATGAACAAGGCAGACTAAATCGAAAAAGGGAATCGTCAGCTCTCTAACTCTAAATTTTATAAAGAATTAACATGTGATCCAACCAAAGAAATTAACAAAAAAATAAATGACGTCCTCTCAGAAATGAATAAAGATAAACAAATTGATGACGATACGTACGATTATCTACGCCCAGACGAAACCTGCAAAGCCGGTCGATTTTATTTACTTCCAAAACTCCATAAAGAAGGGATTCCAGGGAGACCTATAGTATCAGCTAATGGCCATCCTACCGAAAAAATTTCAGAATTTGTTGATTACCTCCTTAGACCACATGTTAGACAATTGCCATCTCATATTCAAGATACAACTGACTATTTGAAGAAAATGAATTCCTTAAGTTCTTTACCTAATGACACAATTTTGGTTTCGATGGATGTGTGTTCTTTATACACTAATATTCCAAAAGATGAAGGAATAACCGCTTTTGAAAAAGTATGGAACACTCGAAAGGATAAACATCCCCCAACTGACTGTCTAGTTCAGTTGCTTTAGCTAGTGCTTGAAAATAACAACTTTATTTTCAACGACAAGCACTTTTTACAGATTGACGGAACTAGTATGGGAACAAAAATGGCACTTTCTTTTGCCAACATTTTTATGGGGGATCTTGAAGAACGGATCCTTTTGAGTGTTCCATACAAACCCTTGTCATGGCTCCGTTTTATTGATGATATTGACATGAAATGGAAAGATACTGCAGAACATTTACAAGATTTTTTTTATCATTGTAACCAGTTGCATCATTCAATAAAATTTACATCTGAATTGTCAAGCAAGAAAATTGCTTTTCTCGACACCACAACATTTGTAAAAAACGGGGTCATGACAACTGATCTCCACACAAAGAAAACAAATAAACACCAGTTCCTCTCTCCGAAAAGTTGTCACCCGAAACACTGTTCCAGGAGCATTCCTTACAGTCAAGCCATCAAACTAAAGCGAATTTGCTCCTCGGAATCCAAACTCAACTATCGTTTGGGACAACTCAGAAAACAACTAAAATTAAGAGGATACAAAACCAAAAATATCACAGAAGCTTTTGATAAAGCCCAAGAAAAAGATCGAAAGATCCTCATGGAATACAAAGATAAAACGACCCGCCCAGATAGAATTCCGTTTGTCGTCACCTTCCATCCTGATTTGACAAATATTTCATCTACTGTCCGCAAGCACTGGCGTCTTATTGAAAATGACTCTTCCTTAAAAGAAATTTTTCCATCACCTCCTGTTATTGCTTATCGCAGACCCAAAAATCTCAAAGTCATACTTGTTACATCCAAAGTAAAATAAAACAAGAGACTTCTAAAATTTGGTGTTACAAACAATACAGAAAAAGCAATTGTAAGAGCTGTAAAGTCGCCAAAACTGACCACTCTTTCACCAGCACAGTAACAAAGCAGCGATACAACATCTATGTTACATCTAATTGTAAAACGGAACTTGCAAGCTGCAAACAGAAACTAAATTCAACATCAGACTTAATAATTACCGGTCTTTTTATACCAAAGGAAGAAACTGCCCAATCACGAGACACCTCTTAAGAACAGGACATACTTTTGAAAATATCACCTTTCAAATAATAGAGGTAAACCGAAATTGGGACACCCAAAGTAGAAAACAGAGAGAGGTTCTGGATGTATCGGCTACGTACTCTTGA